CATTTAATTGATTAAAAAAATAGATGTATGACAAAATGACTTTTTTTTAAATTATCAATGATTATTAAACATAGACTCCTTTGAAGCTTGCGAAACATTTCTTAACAAGCGCCCGCGTCGATTCCTTTTCAACAAAGACGGGAACAAGAAAATGTTCAATAAAATGGAAACTGTGGCATCAATTGAACTCAGTGATGATGATATGGACGATGCTTCAAGCATCGAGGTAAGGAGAAACTGTTTTTAATTGTCTTGTGCATTGATGTGAATATTTTTCATAATTTCCAATCAACAAATACCTACAGAAGGCTCACGAAGTAGCCAGTCGTGCTTTCAACGACGAAAATGAATACTCAGATCTCGGACAAATGAGTGAATCCATTACTGGAAAAGCAACCGAAAACGATAATGATGAGGTAAGACAAGAGGATCCGCCCAACAAAATTGTCATTCAAAAGGACCCAAATCACGTTTCGGTCAATGAACGCGCTGACGATGACTCTTTTACATTGAGCCACCCAAATGATGAAGACAAAGTTGATCAAGCTTGTGAAAATGACAACACACAAGAAAATGTTACCAACGAGAAGAAAGAGCGTACAGATCTCGGTCAAATGACTGATGATAATGATATGGACGGTAATGCTTCAAGCAACGAGGTAAGGAAAAACTGTTTTTAATTGTCTTGTGCATTTATGTGAATATTTTTCACAATTTTCAATCAACAAATACCTACAGAATGCTCACGAAGTGGCCGGTTGTGATTTCAACGACGAAAATGAGCACCCAGATCTCGGACAAAGAAGTGAATCCGTTGCTCGAGTGGCAGCCAAAAATGTTACACCAAAGAAAACTTTGATGATTCGCCGTAACTACGCATTGAAGTCTATCGAAAACAAACCAATCCGAAATGAAACACAGATCGATTCACCATCTGGACTGCTCTTGGTAATTAATTTCTCAAGAAGTTGATTCATCTAATCAGTTGATCCAGCTAATATGATTGTTTTACTACTTTAGCGGAAAAACTACATGAAGGTTATCCAAAACGCAGCCAAAAATGATGATGGTACGATGAAGAAGGATCCACCCAACGACGTTGTCATTCCACCTCACGTTTCGGTCAATGAACGCGCTGACGATGACTCTTTTACATTGAGCCACCTAAATGATGAAGACAAAGGTGATCAAGCTTGTGAAAATGACAACACACAAGAGAATGTTACCAACGAGAAGAAAGAGCGTACAGATCTCGGTCAAATGACTGATGATAATGATATGGACGGTAATGCTTCAAGCAACGAGGTAAGGAAAAACTGTTTTTAATTGTCTTGTGCATTTATGTGAATATTTTTCACAATTTTCAATCAACAAATACCTACAGAATGCCCACGAAGTGGCCGGTTGTGATTTCAACGACGAAAATGAGCACCCAGATCTCGGACAAAGAAGTGAATCCGTTGCTCGAGTGGCAGCCAAAAATGTTACACCAAAGAAAACTTTGATGATTCGCCGTAACTACGCATTGAAGTCTATCGAAAACAAACCAATCCGAAATGAAACACAGAACGATTCACCATCTGGACTGCTCTTGGTAATTAAGTTCTCAAGAAGTTGATCCATCTAATCAGTTGATCCAGCTAATATGATTGTTTTACTACTTTAGC